GCCTATGATGGCTCTTTGGTTGTCGGACACGCAATGGAACGTTTTTTTTTTTTTTTTAAGCCAATTAACTCTCGCCCCGCTGGGTGGGGGGGGGCAGAATCTACCCCCTCCCGTTTTTCGCCAATAACTTCTAAACGCGTTACGCCAGCGACGTCAAAGTTTCAGTACCTTATCATACATCAGTATGACACGTTCCCTGAAAATTTGAGCGAAATCCGTCGGACATTTTTGAGAAAATGACGTTTTAGTGACGTCATGTTCGCCATTTTCGCCTCAAAAACGGCAAAATTTCAAACGCCGCTAACATATTCATTTTTATGGAAATCAAGACGTATTAAAAACGGTTATATGTGATTTTACTTTGTCTATCAAATGGCTATCTCGTTTTTTTGAAAATTTTGATTTTTGCCCATTTTTTTAAACTGACTTTTTTGGGAAAATAATTCTAAAATCCACAATTTTGAGTGTATCGAAAAAACGGAATATTTGTCAGAGAAGTGGTCTATGTGCAACTACGTAGCAATTTTTAGAAAAATCGGTTCAAAATTGTGGGAGTTATTCAAAATTTTATGACGTCACGACGCACAAAGTTTTTGTTTTTGGAAGTTCTAGACCTCGTACGGATACCAAAATAGCATCATTCGATTCGCCGTCAAAACAGCGTCAGATAGACACCTTTTTAGGCCTTAAAGGGACAGTATCACCATTTTGATGAAATTTGACATTGCATAGGCCCCACCTTTCTGGTCCGGGAACTGAAGACCGATCCTCGAAGCTCCACCCGTTATCCCGCTATCGCCGCTCAAAGTACGAAAGGTGTACTACACTTTGAATCGTGCTTCACTATCTTCACTGTTTAAATGTTCGCGCCGTTTTGAATCGACCGCCAGTAATAAAACTTTTACCCTGGTCATTTCATCAAATTTTATAAAGCCAAAACGTTTTTCGCACTTATTCATCACCGTTAAATTCATTAAATAGTCGTAGGCAATTTCCGCTGTTTCCTTCGGATTCTAGCGGCTCAACAAAGGAATTCCTCCAGCTTGAATCACAATGTCCCTCCAATGTATGACGTTTATCACGTGATTGTCACGTGATATTTTCTCCCATTGTCAATTGTCACGTCCAATTGTCACTCCCTCCAATTGTCACGTGATATTTTTATAGGCAATACCTAAGGCTACCTCTCCCTAAGGACAACTCAATCAGAAGAACGACCGCGTAAGCGTAGCGTCAATAATGTATTATCTGCGCCAGTTCTGTAGTAATTTTGCATGCTTCCAAACTGGCGGCCATGCTTGTATAGTGGTGGTTCGCTCATGAAAATGAATCATGAAAATGAAATGTGGTTGCAATATTTTTTCACCGAGTTCGGTCCTCAAACTATGTTTTTCTGATTCAGAAAAATAAGAAATGCTAGTAAAAAAAAAAATCAGCTCCATACATTGATTTTTTTTTCGATGATACTGTCCCTTTAACAACCAACTTCAAAATTTGACCTCACTTGACCTGACCTTGACCTGACCTCGACCTGAAATTCATCCAAATGTGGTCCATATCACTTATTGAGTGTGCCTATTGAATTCTATGAATAAAATGACCCATAAAACATGTGTCGCACATGCCCTTCTCTATATTTTGTTTTTAGTGACCTGACCTGACCTGACCTGACCTTGACCTTGACTTTGACCTTTGAATGATGTATGCAACGAATATTGTCTTGGTAGCCTAAGAACACGTTCTGGGCAATCAGTCTCTGTTACCTCCTCGGACTTGGATTGTTCGCCTCCGTTATACGCGCCATCATGTTTAGATGTTTATTGGCGGTTTCTAAAAACACAAGACAGAACATTCTATAAACACACAAAAGAGGAACGTTTCACACAAAAACAAAGACATTAAAACGCGACGACATTCTACAAGACAAACGAAAACACTGAGCATAAGCCTATGCCATTGCAAATGAAGCATACAAGGCAAAAATAGAGCAATCGAACGACGCAATACGAAAACGGAATGACTTCTGGAAATTAATATCGAAACTAACATTCTAAAATACCGACAATCTGTAAATGTTCGAAATATAGTAAAGCTTACCGGAAGGTGTGCTCCTAAAGCCCTCGGAGGAAGAAAAAGCACCGGGCGAAAACGCACCCGCCTTCGGCTCTGACCGGCCAGCGAATGCTGGGCCGGAGCGGCGGCCGGGCCGGCCCCCGCGCCGTGCAACCCGACGCGGAGGGGCGCCGCCCCGTCGTAGACGGCACGTGGCGGCGGCGTGCAGCGGCGGTAACACCGGCCCCCTTGAAGCCTCTATGACTTCAACTAAGAAAGCTAGCAGCTGTATCGTCTCTCCTATTCTATCGTTTACTACTCTACCCTTCTTCGCTAAGAAGCACTAACTTCGTCACTGGCCTCTCCACCACAGAGCTTCTGGTGCGAACCTTGGCACTGCGAACCAGGCCGTCAGAACTGCGAAAAACCTCCACGATCCGGCCCAGCGCCCAGTGACATCTCGGAGCATTCTCATCTACGAGAATGACGACGTCTCCAGCAGAGAGGTTGACAGACGGTTTAAGCCACTTGGTCCTGGTCTGCAACAGTGGGAGATACTCTTTCTTCCATCGTCTCCAGAACAAGTCGGCCAGATATTGAACCTGTTTCCAGCGCTTCCTTCCAGTCGCGTCAGCTTTACTGAAGATGCCTGGTGGTAGGGAGATGCCGCTGCGCTGAAGTAGAAGGTGGTTCGGCGTAAGGGGCTCCAGGTCATCGGGATCAGATGACACACATGTCTATGGACGGCTGTTCAGAATCGCTTCCACTTCACATAGAAGGGTCCTCAGGCTGTCATCAGTCAACGTCTGTTCGTTGAGAAGAGCACCCAAAACCTTCCTGACCGACCGGATTTGGCGCTCCCAGATACCTCCAAAGTGAGACGCATGTGGCGGATTGAAAATCCACTGGACGTTTCTTTGGAGCAGAGCCTCCTGCACCTGCCTCTCGTTCCACCCATCGATGATCTGTCTGAGCTCTCGTTCGGCGCCTACAAAGTTGGTGCCCCTATCGGATCTGATGATGCGGACCTGACCTCGGCGTGCCACAAAACGTCGCAGAGCGTTGATGAACGAATCGGTTGACAGCGAATCGGCGACCTCAAGATGGGCAGCTCTGGAGGCAAGGCACGTACGAGAGATGACCCCATATACCTTAACCTGTGCGCGGCCTCGTTTGGTGTAATATGGCCCGAAGAAGTCGACTCCCGTGTTAGTGAAAGGGGGATCTCCTGATGTGGCTCGCTCCTCGGGAAGATGTGCCATCTTCTATGTAGCAGGCTTCCTGAATTTTCTTCGACACATAAGGCAGTCTCGTAGTGCATTTCGCACTGCCGACGAGCCCTTGACGATCCAGAACCTCTCACGAAGATCGGCCAAGACGTGTTCTCGGCCTTGGTGTCCGACTCGCCGATGAGCGTCTTCGATGATCAGTCGTGTGACGCAGCCCTTGCGTGGCAGGATGACGGGATGTTTGATGCTAAAGCTTGCGTCAGTACGGTCCATTCTTCCTCCAACTCTCAATAGGTCGTTGTGCAGCAGGGGGTCCAGTTTGGCGAGACTGCTGGACTTCTTCACGTGCTTCCTTTCGCTCCTCAGCGCAGCGATCTCCTCTGCGAATGCTTGTCGTTGTACAGCTCCAATGATCACAGCCTCAGCCTCGTGCAGCTCGTCAACGGTAAGCGTCGTAGAAGGCATGGCCTCCAAGGCTCTGTCCTGTCTGACCCTGTGCAGAAGAAGTGCTTTGAGCCTGAGCAGCCAAGCGACAGCCCTTTTCAGGCGGTACCAGTTGGAGTAACGTGCAGCGAGTTTGTGGACGATGATCTCAGATCCACTTCCCTCTGCCCCAGTGTCAGCTGCTACGAAGAACGCCTTGCTTACTGCCTGTTTGGTCTCTGGGTCGTTGGCAGCCATTCTGATCTCAGGTCGGTTCGGCCACGTTGAGGGGTCCTCCCACAAGAATGCCGGTCCTGTCAGCCAGCGCCCTGTCTGCCGACCCCTTGATGCGTCATCGGCAGGATTGTCTGCGCTGCTTACATATCTCCAGTCAGAGGGTGACGAGCCATCATGTATCACCTCAAGCCTGTTGGATACGAACCGGCGGAATCTTGTGGTCTTGTTGTTGATGTAAGCAAGAACTGTGGTGCTGTCTGTCCAATAAAATGTCTCAGTGACTGGCAGATTCAGTGCCTTCTGGAGTTTGTGGTTGGCGTGCACTGCGGTGACGGCTCCCATCAGTTCTAGCCTGGGAATCGTTACCGCTTTCAGGGGAGCCACTCTCGCCTTTCCGAACACGAAACAGCAGTGCACCCGACCTTCTTCATTCACCAGCCTAAGGTACGACACTACCCCATAGCCATCTTGGCTGGCATCCGAGAAGTGATGGAGCTGGCACGAAACCACCTTCCCGAAGCCTTCGGGCTTGTAGCACCTGTTCATTTGCAGCTGCGATAGTCTCGGTACCTCATCCAGCCAGCTCAGCCACATTCGCTGCTGATCATCAGGGATATCGTCGTCCCAGTCTAGCTCCAGTCTGCACAGGTTCTGTAAGATCAAACGACCACCGAGTACGAACGGTGCAGCCATTCCCAGAGGGTCGTACACAGAGCTCACTGTGGAGAGGATTCCTCGTTTTGTGGCTGGTTTCGTCGTTTTCGTTGCAGATAGGTTGAAGCCAAACACGTCGTCTTCCATCTTCCAGCACACACCTAGAGCTCTTGCCTGGGGAAGATCATCTAGGTTCAGGTCAATCATCATCATCATCAATTTATTATGCGTCTTTTCAGACAATACACATACACATTTCACTTTCCAATAAACACACCAGCAGTACAGATACTGCATGTAGGACGATGAACACAACACTAAAACGCAATTGCAAAGCACATTAACAAGTCAACACATTTGTGAAAAAAACCTATGAGCACAGAAGCCTCACGAGACGACGGGACATCACTGTCTGGCTGGAATCTTTGTGAGGTTGAAGCCACCGAGACGGCACAGACTTCTCAGATCTCCGGCCACTTCGATGGCTTCATCTTCTGTCTCGTCACTCCTCAGACAATCGTCAACGTAAAAGTTCTGCTTGATCACCTTCTGAGCTTGTTCACCAAAGAGACCTCCGAAGTCCTCTGAGGTCCTTCTCAGCGCGTAGTTTGCGCAACTTGGCGACGAGGTTGCTCCAAACAGGTGCACTGTCATCCGGTACTCTTTTGGTGCGCTTTTCATATCCCCTCCTGGCCACCAGAGGAATCTCATGACATCCCTGTCCTCCACTGGCACTCCGACTTGGTAGAACATTGACTCAATGTCAGCCACGAATGCTACAGGAGACTCTCTCAAGCGAATGAGCACGTCTGCCAGATTGTTTGTCATGTCAGGGCCCTGTAGCAAGACGGAGTTGAGGGAGATTCCCCGATACTTCGCTGCACAGTCAAAAACTACGCGAATCTTGTCTGGTTTTTGTGCATGGTGCACTCCATGATGCGGGATGTACCAGACTTTCCCATCGGTTCGATCCTTACTCTCTTCAGGAACTGCTTCAGCATAGCCCTTGTCAATCATTTCTGTCATGTACGCAGTGTACTTTCGATGCAGCTCTTCGTCTGATGTCAGCTTGCGTTTCAGACCAGCCAACCTCTGGGTTGCCATCTGTCGGTTGCAGGGGAGTTCTGGATTGTCTTCTCTGAACGGCAGCGCTATCTCGTAGTGACCGCTGTCTTTCCTGGTGCAGGATGAGCTCACATGCTCCATCCACGCATGGTCCTCTCTGGACATTCCTTTCTCATTGAGACTTGAGGTGTCCTGGACGTCTTCGTTGTACATGTTTATGAACATCTGATGTACGTCTGTATCTCCTATTCCGACTCGGTTCACTTTGATGGTGTCACTCTTTGCAGTCTTCACGGGTCCGTTGACCACCCATCCTATCTTTGTTTTCACAGCAAACGGCTCACCAGGCTTCTCTCCATGAATGATGTCCCACGGTTCCATGATCTCTGAGACATCGTTCCCTATCATGAGACCGATTTCCGCGTCTATTTCCGGTATGTCGATGTCTTGAAGATGAGGCCAGGCCTGCAGATCTCGCTGCTTTGGAATGTCTTCTGATGTCACTGGAATTTTCCGCAGACTGTAAACGGGCGGAAGGGAGACAAACTCTGTCTGGCACATGTCACTAACCTGCATTCCTGTCACGATTTGACTGTCCACTCTCGTCACGTTCGGGTCTACTGTACTCAGTGAGAGCTGCGCTGGCTCCGTTTCTCTCACTTCCAACTCGCGAAGCAGGGATTCGGTGCAGAAAGTAGCAGAGCTTCCGTTGTCCAGAAAGGCGTATGTGCTGACCGTCTTTCCTCCGTTGACGCGGACCTTCACTGGAATGATCGACATTCCACTATGCAACTTCGAAGCGCCGGCCACAATGTCCACAGCTCCATTTTTTACCATAGTCTCTGAGGGAGCTTGGTGCGGATCGGTCTGCTTCATTGGCGCCGGACGGTCCTCATGCAGTAGAGTGGGATGACGACCGTTGCAGACCTCGCAGGACTTTCGTGATCTGCACTCAGCAGCTCTGTGCCCTCGGCGAAGGCATCCAAAGCACATGCCGTGTTCCATCAGGAACTTCCTTTTCTTTTCCGAGGTTTCTTTCTGTAGTACAGGACAGTTTTCCAATAGATGGTCATCCGAGCAGCACCAGCACTTGTACTTCTCAGACCTCTGTTCTACACTTGTAGCGAGACAGTTCGTTTTGTGTGACTTGTCTGGCTTCGGATGAGCGTAGCTCTTCGCTTCCCTGGGTTCGGTGACATGATTCCCGAACAGTGGATCGGATACAACTCGAACCTCGCTTTCGACGAATGACGCCAGATCGTGAAAAATGACGCTTCTCCCTGAGTCCTGGATTGCAACAGCTGTGCGTCTCCAACGATCCTGCAGATGAGTGGGCAGCTTGCTCACCACACTTCTCAGAAGACCCGGATGGTCTAGTTCTCTCACTGAAGAAGGACCAGTTGACATGGAGGAACTGCAGCCTGTGAGGAAAATGGAAAACTTGTCCAGTCCCTTTATGTCATCGCTCTTGATGAACGGCCAGGATAGCAGCTTGTCCACCATGGCAGACGCCATTCTGCGTTCGTCTCCGTACCGTCGTTGCAGACGGGTTCTGGCCTGGGCGTAGCCCTCAGTCGCTGGAAGCAAAAGACAGCTTTTTACGATGTATTTTGGTTCTTCTGTCGTGTACTGCTCCAGATACAGCAGTTTTTCCTTGTCGGTTTCCAGTTTTGAACCGATCACGCTATCGAAAGCCTCGATGAATAGAACGAAATCTGCGATATTACCATTGAATGTGGATATTTCCAGTCTTGGAAGGCCGCTTCGAACCTGCTGCATGAGCAATGCCTTCATCACGTCGCCTCGTTCCATTTCCGGATCATTTTTTGGAGGTGGAGGCAGGCTCTCTGTTGCCGGAAGCTGTGGCCTGTTGTAGGCCTCTTCGGAGGGATCCATGTCTTGTCCTATTGATGCATCCGTACGATTCTGTCCAATAGGTAGGCGTCCTGGGTGCTGAGACTGGTTAATCAGATGATCTGAACTATTACATCCATCACCCAAATTTAACTGACGCTCCGTATGCAGCGATCGACTTAACACGCGCACTGCAGGGGGGGGGGGGTTGTTTTCAACCCCCCCCTGTGGTTTTTCGCAAATTGCGAGAAAACGGCGGCGCGTAGCGCCGCCAAATTTTGCATACCTGTTCTCACAACTTTTGCACACCTTGAGTAAAAATTTTGACCCCAGGTGACCTATGGTCAGGTCACCAGGTCAGGTCAAGTGACCCTACCTCGAAACGTAAATTTCGAAGTTTGCAATCCCACCAAGCCCACAGTTGTTGAGATATGATCTTGAAACCCACAGGAAATAGTAAAGTCATCACGAGCTACAACTTGTATATCTCGGAATTTTTATATCGATGACCTGAGGTCAGGTCATTTTTGCGACCGGCCCATTATAAGTCAATGGGAGAAATTTCAACTTACTCTGAATGCCATCCTATGACTTCAATACGCTCAGGATCATAGTATTACAGGTCCCTGTTGGTGATTTCACCGAAACATATCACTTATGACCTTTGGAAGGTGATCTCCAGGTCATCTTAGGTCACCTGAGGTCACCAGCGGTTTTTCTTCAATAACTTGAGATTGAGTAGAGATAGAGACTCCGTTCGACGTTTATCGTGTTTTTCTCGTCAATTCGGATCGAATGATATGCAACATGACCTATTTCGGTCAGGTCATGACCTTGACCTGAGGTCAAATTTTCAACTTGACCTTTCGAGGTCATATTATATATCATTCGATGCGCCTTGACGAGCTAAGAACGATGGCGTTCGAATCGATCCTCTGTCTTGTGTGCAAGACAAGTTATTCAAGAAAAACTACCGCGAAATTCCTGTTGTGAAAATCGTAACATTTTGTCTTCGGTGACCTCTGGTGACCTCGTTTTTGACCTGACCCAAAAATGATTTTAGTATTTCTTGTCGATCTCATCTTAACCTATCCAACGCCGTTTACCGCTTGTCGCTACGTTGCGCCGTTTTCGAGATCTCAGGGGGGGTTGTTTTCAACCCCCTCCCCCTGCAGTTCGTGTTCGGCTCAGACCCGCTGCAGTGCGCGTGTTAAGCGTGTCTGCGGAAAAACCAACCGATCAGTATCGACCATGTCTATGCCGTGACCTGCTGATGGACCCGATGGGGCTTCCCGTCTTTCCTGATCCTCAGCCAGCAATATTTGACGATGCATGGAGTTTTCCGCTGCACCTTCATGATGGAGATGATCAGACGATCGACTCCCACAGTCTCGTGTGTTGAGGATGCGCTCCTCCTCCGTAATCGCTTGGGCACGTGCTTCTGCTTCCTTTATCTCGATGCGGAGGGCCAGGTCTTCTTTCCTTTGACGTATCTTCAGTTCCATTTTCTTGATTTTCATCATCTCTTGTAGCTCCTGTTCCTCCACATCTCTCTTCTCCTTCAGCATTGCTGCTCTCGCTTTCAACTCAGCCGTCTTGGCAGCTTCTGCCATCCGTATTGACGTCTCGGAGCGACGTGATTGATCAGAATGACGGGAGCTTCTGGATGCCCGCGACAGAGCAGAACGTGGGCGCTCATCTCGAATGGTTATCTGGGAAGCACTATCATCAGGACTGACATCATGGACAGCGTCTCTATCTGAACTCGAATCACCCGTCTGTGCCGCCCCAGGCAGGGCTCCACCGAAGTCAGAGACATATGAATCAGGGTCACAACCTTCTTCATTCAGAGCCTGGGTAAGACGTTGTACTAGCACTGCTTTTACACCCTTGCAATCTATCTCTCTCTTCTGCAATTCGTACTTTAGCGCTGGTACAGTGAGCCTTTCCATTGCGACAATTAGGTGCGGCCTTAACAACTAGCACATAACTAATGCCTGTCCTAATGAACGAATCTCATACATGTAACACTTGACACGAATGAGTCAGCTATGCGACATTTACATTGCCACAATGCACAACCGCGACGATCAATACAATTTCAATACAATTTCAGAGCTCCAATGCTGCAGCAGTAAGACAATGGCAAACACAACGCTCTGCAACTGAACCATTGAATCACTTTGAATGACTCACTAAATCGCTCTGAATACTGACTCATAAAGTCACTCTAAAGCCGGCAGTGGGCTGACTCACGATTGCAGACTGCGAACTCTGCAAACCGCTGCGACCTGAGACGCTGGCTCCTCCGGCGCGGTCTGGTGCAACATGATGCCGAGCCGCGCTGGTCAGCGCGCCGCAGCAGCAGACTCGGCGGCAGACGATTCTCCGGCGGCAGATAGCTCCGGGCCGTCCGACGCCACCATGTAGAAGAAGCTTCCGAAACTGTTACCTCCTCGGACTTGGATTGTTCGCCTCCGTTATACGCGCCATCATGTTTAGATGTTTATTGGCGGTTTCTAAAAACACAAGACAGAACATTCTATAAACACACAAAAGAGGAACGTTTCACACAAAAACAAAGACATTAAAACGCGACGACATTCTACAAGACAAACGAAAACACTGAGCATAAGCCTATGCCATTGCAAATGAAGCATACAAGGCAAAAATAGAGCAATCGAACGACGCAATACGAAAACGGAATGACTTCTGGAAATTAATATCGAAACTAACATTCTAAAATACCGACAATCTGTAAATGTTCGAAATATAGTAAAGCTTACCGGAAGGTGTGCTCCTAAAGCCCTCGGAGGAAGAAAAAGCACCGGGCGAAAACGCACCCGCCTTCGGCTCTGACCGGCCAGCGAATGCTGGGCCGGAGCGGCGGCCGGGCCGGCCCCCGCGCCGTGCAACCCGACGCGGAGGGGCGCCGCCGTAGACGGCACGTGGCGGCGGCGTGCAGCGGCGGTAACAGTCTCCGTCCATTCTTCGGCAACTACGGTGCAAGGCCGATACTGTAGAAACTTGCATTTTGTATCCTTGACCTAACCTTGACTTGACCTCTGACCCACTTAAGCAAAAAAAAAAAAAATGGGCTCTTAAGATCCGCCTTATTGAGAGCTTTCGATTGCCGTTTTCCCCGTCTTTCTACGACCATCGGTTGGTTCGGAAGTTAGACGGGGGGGGGGGGCAGAATCTCCCCCCCCCTCCCCAGCAGGGCGCGTATGGCTGAATAGCCCAGCGGGGCGCGGGTTAACTTCTAATGCTGCTATTTCCAGCCCCGTAGCCCGTATCAAGCGCCACCAATGTACACGAATCTGCAATTACGACATGGATTAAAAGCAGTGGTTTGATCGCTAACGCTGCGTTCGGACAGCCCAGTTTCCACGTGGAGTTTCTACGCCGATGAGCTCCTCACGGAAACGATCGCCTTTCGGTAGAGGTCTGCACCGGTCGGCTGCAGCCGCGGTTGGCTGCATCCCCACGGCTATGGGGCGGGGCGGCTGCAAATATTTCCAAGAGCACGGCTACGGCGGTGGCCATGGCTGTGAGATTTCAAGCTCAATCTTAATACTGAAATATAAAATTGTAAATGCTTAAGCTTGCATTCTGATAAGCAGTCTAACCTGCAGGGGCGTCGTTTTGTATAGGCCTGGTAGGGCCCAAGCCCTACCAATGTTTATTTGGGCCCTACCAATGTTTGTTGAGCCCTACCAATCTTTTGTCACTTATCAGTTGATAAAAAATCAAAATAAACGACAAGCAAATAAGCACATATGTAGATATATAAGGTTCTAGCCACAGTAGGTGCATGTAGCTGACAATGAGGTGTCGTGCCTTGGACTCCGGTCCTTGGTGGATTGTAAGAGACTCGAAAAAGCAATTGGTTATAGAGGTCCATAACCGCCTCTGAGTGCCGCACACCACGCGACCGCCCCTAATAGACCCCGATCCGTCTCCACACCAGCCCCTGGAGGCCCTACCCCGACTTCGGAAGGTGCCGCGATGCTCCAGAATAGGTCATAGGTATATTGATTTGAGTGGGTGATGCAGCCTAATTCCCGAGGGCCCAACGCCAGGTCATTTCCGCATCAGATCCTGAAAACTCAAGCTCATAATCTACGAGGGGCGTTCAAAAACTTTCGGGCCAAACAATGGAGAAGTTGGAATTTCCGCCTGCAAGGCGGTGTGTTAAATGATGTGTTATTGGGATGTCCACTTACGTATCCATTAAGTCTGCTCTGTGATTGATTCGGGCTGCTAATTAATCATAGCATAGTTTGCCATTTCGGATAGGATGGGCGACACCCAGAAGAGAGCAGTGATTCGGTTCATAGTAGGTAGGGTAGGGTGGGGTAGTTTGAACATGTGGGGCAATTTGAACATAGTGTGAATAATAGAAAATTACGGAAAATCCATAAGTGCATGACAATAAGACCAATGAGAGAAATTATCGTAACTAAAAGGGCTATCATATGAACGGGGTTTTAAGTTTCAGGGAATGAAGATGTTGACGCACAGTGTAAAAAATCAATTTCGCAAGGAAAAACGCCTAACAACACGTCATTGCAACTTCATTGCAGCGCAAAATCTTGCATTGCTAGCGCCTAATACGCAACGGCTTTTGTTGTATAATGACCTAATCAGCGCCGTCAATCCAAGAAATTTGCTTTTCAACCCTGTTTTTTAAAATGGCAAAATAACTTTTAGCGTGGGGTAATTTGAACATAGTGTGAGAATTTGAATGAAGACAGGGATAGCTCCGAAAAAAACAACGTTCCCAGTTTTTTTTTGCCAATATTTTCGACCCAAGGCAGTAGCAGATAAGTGATGCCAGTTTTAGAAAATTTACGTCTAATATCCGTCTAATGTCCGGCATATTTGTTGATTTTCCGTCCAAAAATGTTAAAGTCAACTATTTGTCCAAATATGTCCGAAAATTATGCAGCTATCAACACTCAAAACCGTAATTTATATTGCTTTTCATGTAATTTTACCAGCCGAAAAGTGTTCATTATATTGAGATCTTAACAAGCTTTCCATTCGCCAATCAATGCTATGCACGATTACTTTATAAAAAGCGCTGAAGTGTAGCAAGCCATCGTCCAATATTGTCCAGTCTGCTACCTTTGTCCAAACAATTCCGAATTGGACATTGGACAAAATCAGAACTCCAAATGTCCAGGTTTCGATTGGCACCACTTTAACAGATGTAGTACGGTTGGGAGAGTTTTTATCGATTAAAAATGATAGACGTTCTGTTAATTGAAGAGGGGCGAATTCTGTCAACTGACCGGTGTGCAGCGTGCAGATATTGATACTCTGCAATTGTTATTTTTGTTGTTGTGTTGATTTTTCAAATGAAGGTATGTTTAGAATTGCTCTGCCTATTAGTTTATGGGTCAAACAACATCGGTGCTGGCGAGACTATCGTTTTTATGACAGGTAAAGGCAGTATGTTCAAATTACCCCACGGTTGGGCAATTTGAACACACCGTGACTTGGTGGAGAAGTGAGGCTATGCTATTCAAGATATGCTCGGCTCGTCCAAAAATGAGGCTTGCATGGTGAAAGCAAGTGACATTTGCACTACTGAAGCAGTTTTTCTTCATCCAGGGTTCATGGTGTGTCAAAAGTGGAAATAGCCGGTGCGCCGTCTGGCAACCCGGCAGCCCGCCGCCATAGGGAAATTCATGCTTTTTGTCGCTTTTTCGCTCCTTATGAGTCACTTGATCTAATTAGAGCTTAACTAGGAACGAGGCGGGTCAGTTGGACGTATTCGGTAGCCGAATACGGATTTTTGGAGCCAATACCTGGGAAACCCTACCCGCCCAATGCGAGTATTTAAGAGTCTACATGCCCAAATTAACGCTGAGCGCGGCCGTTTTCGGTCGGTTTTCCGCGACCTTGTGGCGAAATCGCCTTATTTATTCAACCAGGGTGGGCTAATTCGCTTAACTAGGAATGAGGCGTTGAAGAGAATTATTCAAGGAATAGAGTTGTGCAAAAATATTATTTGTATTGTTAAAACTGTATCCGCCCTTGAACGATAAATATTGTTGACCCATCAGGAACACATCCCCTGGAATGCGTTTGGACTTGGCTGGATCTAATATTAGCGAGTATCTGCTAATGCAGTTTCTTGGCTTACACAGTACGCACACAAGCATACATACTTCCTGCCCTTGGTTATCCCTCACTTGAATGAAAATTTTGCTATAATAACCATTCCAAGCAGTTAACAGGTTTTAGTGCAGTGCCAAGTCGGAACCGTTCAGCGCCGCCAGTCTCCCAGGCGGCGCGTAACGGCCGCCGCCGGCCGCGCGCCGCCGCTCTGGCAGGGTGTTTGACTTCATATCTCTGTTGCTAGAAAAGTTGTGGACCGATTTACATGATTCTTGCATGAAAAGATCCGCCATTCAATTCTTAGCAGATAACGAAAATTTGACGTCAATTGCACGATCCGCTGCCCATATTGTGGTACTGCCATCTATTGACAAGGCTGGCGAACTAAAGCCGGGCGGCTATTTCCACTTTTGACACACCATGTGAACTGGAATTTGGTACAACGGAGAAGACGTAAAAATATGTTCAAATTACCCCACACTAC